AATCAGAGCGCGCGTTATATCGGCCACAAGCCAAAGCCATATAATAATTATTTTTAGTGCCAGCGGTTTTTCAGTTATAATTAAATTTCAACCTGCAACCTGCATCCTGCACCCTGCAAAATATACCTGCTGGGATGATGGCTGAACGTAAAGTCAATCAAGTTTTATATTTCTCCTGCATGAATGTTTTCAGTACAGAGTTTGGAATTAGGTGAATTAAAGCGGGACAGAACAGCCAGGCCACGGAAAACAGAATACGTCCCCCTTCATTTTAGCTTGTGTTTAGAATTCCCGTTAGACTGACAGTTGCAACTGATAAGCAACTGTGTTATACAGCACGTGATTATGACTTTCAAAATGACCCTCTAACTAAACGGATAAAACGATGTTAATGGTTGGATTTTACCGTTGTATCAGGATTTAGCTGCAAAAGTAATTTTGAAATATTCTAAGATCCGCTGAGATGTCTATGAACATCTTTGTTTTATTTAGGGTCGCATTTCTGTCTAACCACATTTCTGAAATTGTTGCACGTAATACCTTGTTTTATGCCTACAACTCTGAACGCAACAATCTCAACTTGTATCCACTATAGGCAACATTACGAACAGTAGCTTGGCTCAACTATTGACCCATTTCTGGTTTTTGATCACGATTTTCTCTGCTTTTCTGCTCTGACAGCAAAAAAATCTAAGCACTAAATGACTGCAATTTATTCTTCCTCAGGAGCCTTTGTTTAAAATACGCCTGAATTTTGTACATCCTTAGCCTCGTACTGATGTTTCCAGACAAAGGATTTTTTTTCGTATGAACGTGAGGCATGGGATGTATAAGTATTGTTATTCAAATATAGGCGCCATTTTATGCAAAGGGTCTATAGTTACCACTGTGATACATGATTGTAAACATGCTTAAAATGTACATTGAAGTACTCGTACTCTGATTGGTTGAGAATAAATCAATCCATTACTAACTGAAAAAGTTTAATTTTGACCTAACACGGGCAATCGACATAATCAAATCATTAATTTTATTTAAATTATGAATCGACTAGATAACGTGGACGTTTTAGTTTGATCCAGTTACCAAGTACAAAAAGGCGGGAAATTTTGTTGCGGTGTTCACCGTGTAAGTTGAAAGAAACGTGAGGAAAGCGTGCGAGAATTATCTTCTGAAACATTCATCTAACGCAGTCTCTTTTACTGGAGTTGTCTATTTTATGAAAAAATTGTGACAAGAAAAGGTTAACGGGAAGATCCCAATTTTCGGATATTTCCTGTACAAGTCAAATAAAACAGGATTTGCATGTTTACGGCTCCACGGTTGCTGTCTTTAAGAGTACAAAACTATCTCACTGAAACCAAACTCATATTCAAGGCCTTGAAAGTTTGTGAAATTTGCTTGTGTACCTGAAATTCAGAGCGGAACAACACATGGCGCAGCTTTGGTCAGCTTTCTGTGCATCACTTCTTGCGGTCTCAGGCATGCGCAACGCTGGCTGCAACCTCTGCAAAGGCGTAAATGGCGGATTATTACAAACCAATTTCAATATTTAAAATTCACCCTAAAGCAATAAACCCCAACTCAGAGTCGTGTCGTTCCCAAAAAAGTCGATTCGCCCCGACCAAAAGTTAGTTCGCCTGAAGTTTTTTCATACAATTATATTTCGGAAAGTAATAAATGATCGCAGTCATAAAGAATGAATTATTCTGTTGCTATGGGAGTGAACAACACTTCTATGCGCGTAATCCAACAAATATATCTAGACTCAATGGCTCTTTGACCACGCAAATGCTTAATATAAGGGTTTAAAAAGGCCGTCTTATACACTCTACAGATAAAAGCCGTGGAAGGTTGATTAAGTTTTTAAATACAATCGGCCATCGATCGATCAACGGACTTTGTTTCTACGCGCGTAATCAAACAAATTTATTTTTTCTGGTTAGTATCATTTGCACGAATTGAAAGCTTATCTCAATTTGTTCAGTAATTCTAGCACTCGGCTAGTAGTCCTAGTACGTAGCAAAATATGATTCATTTCATGAGTACAGACAGATGGAAAGAAGTGCGGGCTCATTTTCCGGAACAGCGGCTAATGTAGTTGCTTTGGCCG